GGAGCAGCGCGCACCTGCCCTCCAACACACACGAAACCCGCGGTCACCACGCGTCCTCCGGACCCCAGGTTACCGCTGCCAAGTGGCGGGCGCGTCCGGCGCGGGCGCGGGAACGGGTGACACGGGAGCGCCCATAGGGACGGAGTGGGGCACACACAAGAAACACTGCCCCTCCCAACAAAAAAATTAAAAAACCATCAACGAAGCGGCTCGCCAGAGACCGCTTACCGCTGCCACCAAGTTGTCATCTTTTAAGTGTAGTTACTATTCTCTGAACTGATCAAACTATCTTTGGTAATGGAGGCTTAGGCGAGGCTTCGGTAAATGATGGTCATAATCTTTCACAGAACTTTTACTTACACACAAGGAGAGGAGAGGAGTACATTGTGCTCGCTGGCCCAGCTCAGACTGACTCGCTTGGGGCCCAGCGGGTGTATATGTAAGCTCGCAGTGCGTGCGCCGTGCCATGTGGCCCCCGTCGCGAGGGTGCGTCGTGCGTTCTAAGTATACCGCCGCCATACATGTCTCGTCTGTCTCCGCCAGGCCTGGCTAAACCAGCTGGACCAAACGGTTGACTAAGGACTAGTAAGGCAAAGGGATCTCAGGATCACAACCCAAAGAAGCACAAATACAAAAATGTTCGCTCGCTTCGCTCGCAAATCCCTCTCCCGCTGCTCTGTAACTTCTAGTATACACAACGGTACTTGAACTTTAAAAGTAAATATAAAAAGGGACATTTTACCGTGCGCCAAAAAATATTTTAAGATCCTAAACCACAAAAATTATGGAAAATAAGTCAATTTTTATTCTTTCACATAAAAGTGCCCCTGGAAGTAGGCAACCCGCAATTTTTGCCCCCCCTTGAACTGCGAGCCAGATCCGCCCCTGGACTTGGATAGGATTTGGTGCATGGTGACTCGAGCTGGCTTTGAAACAAAAGTTAGCGCATTCTGGAACGTCTTTCTTATGTCAAATTAAACCCGTCTCAGATTTTTAATAGGTTTTAGTACACACCTTAAGCCTTATTGTGGTGGGTAAAGATGAAGAGTGAAGAGCAGGGGAAGGCTGAAAAAAATATTTGAAGCTGTCACCTGTGTAAGGGCTTAAAAAATTAACTGATTAATCCTATTTTTCCTGATCTCCAAAGGTGGTAGGGGACGGAGGAGAACTTGAGAAATTTTTACTAACATTCACTTTTTACTTTCAGTGTCTTCTGTCCTGGATAACTCTACACAATCAAGTTTTGTTTTTGAAAGCATTGAGGATGATTTGACTACTGATGACAGGCCTCTGGATCTAAGTCCTCCTAAGAATTTGCGATCTAGATCAAATGTTTCTTCTCCAGAAAGAGGTAACATTGTGCGGCTCCAGTTGTCTATCTACTTATGTAATTATTTTACTCCTTTCTTATTTTATATAACAAACAAATTTCTTCTTTAGGAGGTGAAATTGTGGATGGAAATAATACTGACCATAACTCCGATGATCAGGAAGGGAGTAACAATGAAACACGTCCAATAGCTACATCAAATAAGCGAAAAATGCTACCTAAGGAATCTAAAAGAAAGCGTAGTCTGAACCCTGATAGATGGCAACGTAAAGTTTCAAGCAAAGCTTTTAATGATGGAGTGGAGCACACCACTTCCAAAGGAAAACTTAAAGAAGCCCGTGAGATGGGAGATCCTTGTCGCGATGGCTGCAAAAAATGTAAAGTAGCCCTTACTCATCCTAAGAGAGAGGCAATTTTTCACAAATTTTGGAATCTGCCTAATATAAACAGGAAAAGGGACTTCATTAGCAGGCACATTAAAACAAGAACACCTGATACCTGCTCTACATCTCCAGAATGTGCCAAAAAGACCAGCAGGCACTATTTCTTTACAGTTGCTGGTGAAGAAATAGTCGTATGTAAAACTATGTTTCTAAGCACTTTAGGAGTTGCTGACTGCTGGATTGAAACCTCTCTACGCAAATGCACTAATGGCTTTGGCCTCTCCCCAGACAAGAGGGGGAAACATTTGAATAGGCCCAACCAAACTTCAGACGAAACTATACAGTCTGTCAAAACGCACATAAATCTTTTTCCTCGAGTAGCTTCTCACTACACCAGGGAAAGATCCCAGAGAGAATATTTAGAGACGGAGTTGAAGAGTGTTGAAAGAATGTACCGACTGTATAAAATTTGGGCAGAAGAAAATAATGTTCCTAAACCGGCTTCTGCTTCAATATACCGCAAGATTTTCACCACTCAGTTTAATTTAGGCTTCTTCCTCCCTAAAAAGGACCAGTGCGAGACTTGTAATAAGTGGAAGCACGCTGCAAATCAAGACGAAAGAAGGGAGATT